CAAGACTGAAGAACACTGGATCATCTGCTGGATTCGAGTAGGTCGGAACCCTACCGATCCACGGTCTTGCCCTCCACCTGTGCTCAGCGTCAAGGAACCTCTGAACCAGCACCCGGCCATTGGCAGTGCCGGATTTACCAGCGATGAGCGCTGACTGGGCGGCCTCGTTATCAAGGAAAAAGACCGAGAAGCTGTCTTGGATCAAATGCCCCCGTTCTACTAACATTAGTTGTGCTTGCTACGGCGGTTATCCCGGAAGGATTAAAGCAGCGTGTTCCCGAAGGGATAAAGAACTCGGACGAAAGCCTTTTGAGGAGTGCCGATCGCCCCACAGTCCGGTCGGGGCTAAGCCGTAAAGCAAAAGCTACCGAGGTTGATGGGTGGGACTGAGACGCCACCCATCACCACGATGTAACGGAGTGTGCAAGCTGAAGCAGGTGATAACGCGAAGTCATAGCAAGGCTGATAAAGCAGAGTACAGAGAGCTTTGCACATTGCATGGCGTGCGACTCTAGAACAAACATGCAACTGCTGCTGCTGCGACTTGAAGCAGATTGACAGTTACAGCGTAAAAGAGCCTTGTTGAAGCTGGAGCAGATGCAGCCATTTGTCAACCTCCCAGAACTTACGCAACAGGGCATAGACACCTGAGTAACAGCTGGGAGGATGTCTGTTGTGAAACGGGCGGGTGAAGCACTGCACTCTAGATACATGGCTGCCCCGGAGCCTGAATCTTTTCTTGTTTCGAGGATCTTCATTGACTGTTGCATGGCCAGTGCCTGTGAAACGAATGTGAAAGCCTGGGTGGGCGGGCGAGGACAAAGAAAGCTTCTGCACGCCTAGCAAGCACAACTAGAGCCAAAATGTCGCACGAACATAAGTTAGTAAAACAGACGTGAACAAGTACACAAACCGTTTTACTAACATTAGTTGTGCTTGCTACGGCGGTTATCCCGGAGGGATTAAAGCAGCGTGTTCCCGAAGGGATAAAGAACTCGGACGAAAGCCTTTTGAGGAGCGCCGATCGCCCCACAGTCCGGTCGGGGCTAAGCCGTAAAGCAAAAGCTACCGAGGTTGATGGGTGAGACTGAGACGCCAAATAACAACTACCCAGCAACCTCGCCCTACAGAAAGCCCAACTTTTATGTGAGGTTGGTGGGCACTCCTCGCGCACGCACTTGCCACTGAAGTTCGACAGACGAAGGTGAGACGCTGATACATGGAGAAGGCAGCCAGAGCAACTGCAGGTCTAATGCCAAACGCTCATGCGGAAGGCAGTCAGGTGGAATCGGAAATTCCTCCGGGCGTGACAAGGCATCTGCTTTCTCGTTGGCTTCCCTGGGATGTGTGAAACATCCAAAGAGACACGATGCATGGCGGCCACAAGTGAAATTCTCTCAAGAAAGTAAGCAAGTGGACGCGAAGTCGTCCAACTCTTGTTGATGCCCGATTCAGCCCCAGAATTATCGGAAAGTGATTTGAATCTTATGGGAATGCTACAGCAAGGAAGCAGTGAGGATGCCGCTAGGATCAGCGCGGCCTGCGCCAGTGCTTCATAACACGAGATCTCACGCTGCATCTCTGCTTGGACATCTATGCCCAAGGACACGAAATCGGAATGCCGAAAAGACTGGCGAAACCACCTATGACCTAAGGAGGGGTGCCTAACGTAACCGCCTATGCAGCAAGTAGGCCCCTTGGCACTGGCATCAGCGCGAGCATCAAAGTTAAGTGTAGCCGGGCTTCGCATGGAGCGAAACGGAGACATGTGCAGAACCCAATGCTCAAAGATGCTCAGCACGCGTTGGGACTCCAAGCTGAGTTTGCGCTTGTTGCTGTTTTGACTGGACACCCGAACCCACATCCGACGATCTGTCAAGCGAATCTGCTGAAGGTCATCTAGACACTTGATGTCTTGGTGACGGGCCGACAACAGCTTGGAATGCAGCGGGATTGCAGTACCTGGCGGCACCGAGATGAATTGCAGATTGGAATTCAAGTGATGCTTCAAGCTCCGCCAGCATTCTGTAGGCACACTGTAGTTTGTGGCGGCAGGACTATAAAGATCGGCATAGAATGTATGCAACATGCTCTTCATGACTGGAAAGAGGTTTGTTGCCCAAAGTGCAAGGCCAATGAAGCGTTCCAGGTCCTTTTTGGACAAGCGTGGATGTTGCCTGAGATCCTGGATCATGCCCAGGAGTTTGGACCTTTTGGCAGCTTTTAGCAGCACTATTCCAGCCGAGAACTGAAAGTCCCACCCAATCCAAGTGACCCGGAAAGCTAATTGAAGCTTATGCCAAGACAACGGTATCCCCATGCACTGAAAGAACATGCAAATCATTGCACCGATGGAAGGAAGTATGCTCGAAGCCTGTGAAAAAATGTAGTCATCTACGTAGAGATGCCCTGTGTGGGCAATCCAAATTAACACATGAAGGATTCGAAGCAGTACTGAGCCCAGCCGCCCCCACCAATGCTGGGCAAAGGTAGCCGTAGCCCCGAACGGGCATGTTCGGTAAAAGAAAAGCGAGTTCGAGCCGTCCGGGCTCTCACAAGAAAACCCGAGCAACCCTTGTTCGGCTTCGTTTACCAAAACCCTTTTATGGGCGCTCTTAATGTCTATGGAGAGGGCACTTTGCATCCCAGAACACTGCCTGATCGGGAATGATTCGATGACGTCTCTGACGGTTGGCATGCATTGCTTCTCTGGTACGTGGCAATTGGCATTCGTGCCACAAATGCTGTTGCCCAGGCAGAGTCTCTCTGAACGTCCCGGGGCCCGTACAACGGAAAGCTTGCCTGTTGCAACACCCAGGGGCCAGCGTCTATGGGCGTCCTCTAAAGAGCCATCAAACTTAAAGCAAAAACCCTGATCAAGTTCCTCCTGAAGAAGCTGCCTAGTAACTGCTGGCAGAGCGCCAATTTTGAAGATGGATTGACAAGGGGATGTCATCGGGGCCTTCAACAAGATTGGGCCAGAAACAGTTAGAAGGTGGTATATCCGAAAGATATCCTGTCGGAACGCAACGCTTCAGCGCGGGGAACACTGTGACATCGGGATCTCGGCAAAACGGAGCAAGAGCATGCAAAGCGTTCAAGCAGATGGGTTGATGATCTTTGGGAGTCCAGGCCTGCTCTGGCTCCTGCAAGCCTCGCGAAGCGAAAATCAGGGGGCGCACCTTCGCCACCTCTGACTCTGTGAACAGAGGCGAGTTGCTCGGCTCGGCCTGGCGTTGCAGTAGCCTTGCAGGGCCTTGCAGACGGGCTGTTTGTTCAAGCAGCAGGGAACGTAGGGGCTTAAGGAGATCGGGTCCTACCGGTGCGCTCCAATCTGCGCAAGAGTAATGGCCTGCCCCGTCATGAACGGCCCAAGGCCCCTGCTACATGGATTTGAGTGGCACTAAGCGGAAAGCTGATGACATGTCCAAGCATTCTGAGCGCAGGCTGAGCAGTACCTGAATGTGTGCTGCGAAAGCCTCACAAAGGGCCGTAGGATAATGAGCCGTTTGCCTACTCAAGAATTGACCTGAGGCATCCCGACCCCGCAGTACTGGGTGGGCATTCGGCCCATGCTCGCAAACGTGACCTAAGTTCTTTAGGGGGGAATAGCTCGTCCCGAAAAGCCATTGTTTTTTCCAAGGGGCACCATACCCACAAGCCGCGACCCAAACCAGGGAAACCGACCCTTTATAAAGCCAGGACTGAAGGCAGCTTTCCTCCCAGGCCATGGAACCTGAGTTGTTCGATGCATATGTCACGGAGACGCATTTGCAGCATCTGGACAAGATTTCCTTGCTCTCCTGAAGTGTGATCAAGTCACTGGGGCCTAAACCCCCCATCGAGGTGGGAAGGAGTCCGAATGGCATACGGGGGCCCATTGTCAAGCTTAAGCCTAGAGTAGCGCGAACAGCTAGGGGCCGCGGCGCAATAGCCAACATTGCCTGAACCACAAATGAAAAGTAGACGCTCAAAGAATGAGTCAGCAAGCCAATCCATCTCGGGATGCAAAAGCACGTCTATTGACAGTGTGGCGAATCCAAGCTCGGCAACCGCTGCCGACAAAGGCTTTTCAAAGCCCGAGCACACATCCAGAAAAAAGCGTTCTGGCATGTTCTCTGGAAGTGATGCAAGCGATGGCTGAGGAAACGGAGCTGGAACTGAAGGCGAATGCTTCCAAGAATGATGCTGAAACCCGTAAGGTGCAAGCCTACCCCAATTTACCCCAGAGCTGAAAGCAGGAGACGACTTGGTCTCGGCGCGCGGCTGATTGCCCGAAGAAGGTGCTGGTACCTGCGGAGCGCGGGGCTTAAGAAAGCTGTGAGAACCCAGCGGTCCCCCACGAACGGCTCCGTGAGATGCCACGCATGTGATGGGAACTTGGTGGGATTGTGGCGAGTGACGACTAACTCCCCAGGCAGTGATTTGCTGAGGGCCGGAATGTAGCGCTGATTGGATCCGGCAGCCTTTTCGATCCACAAGGAACCACCCTCGAAAGCCCCAAGACTAACCGAAAGGTTAAAGGATCCGGCTTGATTAGCCGTGTCCCTGTGTGGGGAAGTAAGGATGTTATGAGCTACGCACAAGGTGTTCCATGTTTCATCGGGAAAAAGCTGCTGCAAGAAAGCGTTTAGCTGCTGACAAACCTCGGGCAGGCACACTGACACTGAGGAAAGCTCATTGCGTCGGCTGACCTGACAGCCGAAATTCCAATAGCCAGAGGCCTTGGCTGCAGAAGAAGTCACCTGTCTGTCGGGCGCCACGCGCTGTGGCCAATTTGTTGAATTGAGCAATTGCAAGCAACTAGCAAAATCATGAACATGAGATTTCCCAGCCGAAGCAACGCTAGTGTCTGATTGGGAGGGCAGCAATGACGCTGCAATGGCACGCTGATCTGCAGTCGAAGAAGATGAATCGAGCCCACACGCGGTTCCCCCCCTCAAGGGGGAACTCCTGGGCTAGCGATGCCCCTGCCACGCTCTCCCGAGACGGGAGTGGAGCTAAGCGAGCTCCCAGACGCAGTTGATGATACACATGATGGCGCCAAAATGGCTGGTGATGCTGTACTGCGCAAGTTTGACGCAGAAGACTGTGAAAGCATATGAGATGAACTCGTGGCTGGTGCTGCAAAAGTCTGAATAGATGAAGGCACAAAAGAAATAACTGAAGCCCTTGATGAAACCTTGGACCCCGGGGACTGCGAATTCACAGCCGGAACAGCTCAAGGCAAAGACTTAGCTTGCGGAGTTGCATGCAACACTGAAGAAGCCCCGGAGCCCGAAAGCGAAGCAGATGCTGATAATCAGTGGGCCGCGTTGGCGTGATTGAAAGCGTTATGGCTCTTGCTCATGCAAGGGGTGCCATCTGCCTTAGGAAAACAATTTGCTCCACGAGAGCATTTACCTGATTGCCATTGCATGCAGAGTTGTTTGGATTCACCGTTGATTTCAACGTCCCGAACCCAGGATGTAGCGGGGCCTTTGGAAGGAGATTTGCCCTTGCCCCCTTTATCACCCTTATCCTTACCGGGACCCTTGCCAGGGCCCTTCCAAGACTGAGAGCCGCGCCAAGCCTCGACGAGGGACTTTCCGAGTCCTTTGCCTTTGGGGCCTTTGTCAATGATCCGCTGCACCTGAGCTGGCTTGGCACGCGCCTGAAGCAAACTTGCCATCTCTCCCCGGATCTCCGTGTACTCGTAGGTGGCATCATTGAGCTTCCAGCCCTTGTCTGATACCAAAGCATAGATGCGCTGCCACAACTTGCAATCTGCCTGCTGGGCTTCAAGAGTGCTCGGTGGCCGAAGGCCCGAAGAAGAATCGTAGCGCTGAGTGAGCAGCTGGATGAACTTGTTGCTGTAGGCTTTGAGTCTTGCTAAGTGAGCCGAGCCTACCACGGCCAAAGCAATGTCATGAACTGCAAGCAGCCTCTGTACCCCAGAAATGCCCATATTGTGATCTCCCACCTCCAGCGCGGGCGGCTCATCCAAAATCAAGCTTGATAGGCCGAGGGCTTCAAGGCGGGGAAGTTTCTGTGGGCGCGCAATCTGCAAGTCTGCTGCTCTTTCTTCTGTCATGCGCATCTTCCGCGGAATCCACCTGAATTCGCCCTTTGAATCTTGATGTGCAGCGAGTGATATAAGCCGTAAAGAAGGCATGGTATTGGGTGATAAGATCTCGCTCGTGTAATTTGCCAAGAGTTGTTTCTTCATCTCAGCCAGCTTAGCAGACCCTACTTTCGGGGCAAAACTTTCTAGAAATGCTCCGAAGTCACCAATAAAGCTCGCCAATCATCGAGGGACAGAAATACCAGAACCCGAGCAGCCTCCCGAGAGCTTTGAATCAGAGAAAAGAGGGCTGGAACATAGAAGCGCACCCTCCTGGATCTGAATGACAGCTGTGTCAACCGAAGCAATTGAAGCCGGCGCTCACGATCCAACTCCATGGGGACTCTTACCAGAGATATCAGCTTGAGCTCAAGCTAGCAGTTTCACATGATACATGGACATCAGCACGCAGACGCAAAGTTGGACTCACGCGCATTGTTTTTTATCCAAAGGGCATGAACGATTCATAAGCTCCGGAACTACTGCTGCAGACCACACTTGCCCAGAATGTTGCAGCAAGCAAGCCGCTTGCAAAGCTGAAGCGAGGGGGTGTACTCTTCCACCCATGTGATGTTCTCGTGATACAATGCAACGCCACAAGCTGGACGCAAGCGCTTACCCCTAAAGGCCAAACCTGAGCCTGGCACTGATGGGATCATCGCATGGTGCACCCCTGTGCTGGACGCAAGAATGAATTCCTCAGGCGAGCCAATGTCCTGAGGGATTGCTTCATCGCCGCTACTGGAGCAAGATTCATCATCTGACGATTGAAGTTCCTGCAAGGCTGGGGGTGCATGAAATTTGGCATCCGATGAGGGCTCTCCGATCGGCGGCAAGTGCAAGCCTTCCTTCAACGCAAAATGAACAAGCGGGGTCTGAGAGCCTCGATGCAGTGGGGTGAGGAACCGGGTTCCACGCAGAACTGACCTACGCACCTTCTGCTGGCCACGCAGTGCCGGTATCACATCTTCGCGGCTGTAGAGTTGTTGTGATGAAAGCCTGTGATGGCCCTGGGTACGTTTCTCCAAATCCTTACATTCCGGGATCTGTGCCATCCAAGAAAGCATGGTCGTCTTGAGGCTATGAACTGTGTAGTTAAGCTCCGAGTTGAGTTCAGATTTTGAAGACTTCCACGGCAATGTCATAGAGTAGCGCAAATGACGAAGTGCAGCTGCATACCCCATAGGTTGAAGTGGCATCAAAGGTCCCTCCGTGTTTACGGAAAGAAGCAAGCTGGAAGGAAGCGCAATGTGCGGAAAGCGTTCCAAATGCCAGCTGCACATGATCCAAAGTCCTAAGGCCTAAGGAACTTATGAACCCAAGTGAAGGAACCGTGACTCAAGAACCCATGGCACAGCAAGCCAAAGGGCTGGCCAGAACACGTGGTTTTGGTCTGAAAGCAACTGCCTCGCAAGGAGCTACCGTCGAATGCAAGACCGTCCATGAAGCTCAAACTTGCCCACAGCAGAATCAAGAACCCGCCTAGGACCAAGATTTCAGAAGTGGAAGCCTGCTGCATCAAGATGCGGCGCTCAAACTGCACCACTACAAAGAGCGGTAAAGGAACCGCTTCCTTGCGTTCGCGAGGTATTTTGGATTTGAGAAAGCTGGAAATCAAGGGCGAATACGCCACTTCCAAGACCGAAACTTCCAAAGTCCGTTTAACCCAGCGAATTGCCTTGATCGCAGTTGATGAATGTACTCCTGTCTCCGGGTCGGCCCCGCGGGCCAACGAGAGCACTACAAGTGCATCTGCAAGCTGCACTGAGCTCAAGTTGCTGAGGCTGAAGACAAGATCCACAAAGTGGATGCAAGCGCTCGAAAAGCTGAGCTGTAACGAATCACCGTGGAAGCAACAAACATCTGCAATATGTGCCCCACATGATCCTGCTCGCTCTGCTGCAAAGCTACACCCAAAGCACTCAAATTTCCCAAAAGCACTACAATACCCAAGAAGGCCTCTCTGGCGATCCGACTGCGCGAGGCGTTCACGCTGATCGAAGAAGCATGGGGTTTTTCTGAGGGTGCAATGGTGGCTCTGGGCATCTTAGGGGCTGTAGAACTTGCACGAAAGCTGCTGCAGCTTCAAGTGAGTCTGCACAAGAAACTGAATTGTTCGGAGATGCAAAGTTCCCCAAATCTCAAGCAGGCAATAAAGAGCCCAGCACAGGCACAGGCAGTGAGCTCGAGGCCGGAAGAGCTGGGATAGCTTGCACCCGATCGAAAGCAGGAATGCACGAGCCTGATGAGGGCAAGGCGGGTGGATTGGGGCTTTGCTTAGCGATGAGAGCCGGCAGTGACTGTGCTGTTGCAACTGCAAGATGCACGGCAGGCTTGGCATCGGGATCAAGAGGTCTTTTCATTGCCTGTGCAATCTGATGGCCTAAAGCCCTGCAACCTCGAGAGCACCCACACGCTGGGACAACAGACGATGATTGACACTCGCCTCTTGGAGAGCTTCGAGCAGGAGCCTATTTGCCCGTCGGGCTTGGCGCAATTCCCTTTCAAGACGATCTATGCGGAGAGATTCAGCTTCCACTACACGCAAGCGGTTGTTCAGCAAATTATCATTATTCTGCAGGGAATCTAGGTGACGCTGTTGCCCCCACCGGAGGGTTTCAAGCTGAATCACACGTTCCGTGAGATCAATAACTTTGGCTTGCAGAAGCTCGACAAGAGTCTCCGAACTCTGAGCAACCGGAACCGATCCGGATGCCATTCACCCCTCTTTGGGGGCGCCCGCTCGGTGCTACGGAGCTAGGTTGCTTGTCGTGATTATGTAGCATGAACTGAAAGCAAGATGTCAAAATGCAAGGCGCATATGCTCCAAACATGAAATGAAAGCTTCAAGCATCATGCAACACAAAGAAAGCTTCTGCACGCCTAGCAAGCACAACTAGAGCCAAAATGTCGCACGAACATAAGTTAGTAAAACAGACGTGAACAAGTACACAAACCAAAGCTCGAAGGCAACCGTTGCCGCATACAACTCTACCTCGTAGATTGGGTGGTCGGATTGACTTTCCAATACTTGCAAGTCCGTGTCTTCAACCTCAGAACTGAAGAAAGCCAAGGCCGTGCCTGCGTCGTCATACAGCACGCCGCCGATCCCAGTCCTCATTTCGCCGTCTGGCTCGCACGACCCATCGGTGAAGATGAACATCTCTCTGCCAGTAGTTTGCCGTATCTCAAGCGGCTTGGCATCAGACATCAAGTAAATCCGCATGGTCTTCAAAGCGTCCTCAAGGTCCCTCGTCAAAGACGCACAAGAGTCATGGCCTTGAGCCCGGAGCGATATCTGATGCATCGCTTCGCAAGGTGCCCTGCCAAAGATAGGAAGTGTACCAGTGCATCCGGCCACGCAGCACCTCAGCGTCCTTGGGTCGAAGCTTCCCATCCTGGAGAATCTCGTCAAGAGTCAAGAGTCTCCAACAGCTCTGCAGTCCTAACTTCGGTGCGGCGAAGCGTCACCACGCCCTCCTTGAAACGTGTTAAGTCAAAGGTGAGGACCCAAGGCGCTGAAGACCTCCTCGACCTCCGTGGCCTTTCTCCCCTCCTTCGCGTACTCCACCTTCAAGGCATCGAAAACCGAAAACTTCCCCAACAAGGCCATTCACTTGTGACTCATGCCCCTCCGCGACCAGCAGAGGAAAATCGTCGAAGCAAGCGCACCACCCGAGGCCCATGTCCCGTACTCCAGTGTGCCACAACGCAGCTGACACCCTCAAGAAGCCTGCTACGCTTCCTGTAGCACCAAAAGGTAGGACGTTCGTCCCGCACAGTCGAACGACCTTGGAATCAGTGTCGAACACCCCAATTCGTAGGCGCCGCCTGTCCTCGGGGTGGATGGGATAGAACTTGTACGCCGCCCCTGGCCGAAGGCCGGTTAAGAGGCTCAACGAAGACCCCGGCCAGAACGTCCACTCCGTGCAGAGTGAGCTCTTCCGGCAAACCGCAAGCCAAGTTAAGACCGCATTCTTTCCCGTTGTCGATGACTCTGACCTTGCCCTTTTGATCGAGGCCAAAACGGTGAGCGAGAACCATAGGCTCATGTTCCGGAGAAACGTCCCGGAAGATCCACCCCTTCTTTTCCTCTTCCAGCGTTTCCGCCCAAGCTTGGGGAGTGGTAGTCTCATCCACCACAGTTTTCCGGTAGGTGGATTGTTCAAGCAGTCTTTCCAGGGTGGGCGCCGGGGGGACGCAGCTTTTGTCGAAGATTCCCGTGTCTCTCATCCACCAGTGAGGTGGAATCCGTCTCGCAAATCTGCCAAATCTTGTCGTTCAGAGGTCTCGTTTTCGTTCCAACGCTGCCTCGTCTTGGCTGCCCTCTCTTCCTTGTCCTTGAAGGGTAAAAGCACTGCATCTACGACATCCACTGCAGGTCCGGCACGGCTAGCTGACAGACCATTCCTCGGGTGCCCAGCTTTGATTGCCGCATTGACGAAGTCCTGGAGTTCTCTTGGAATCTCTAACTATCACCTCAGCACAATTCGAGAGTCGTCGCCTTGCAAAAGACTGCATACTTGCACCGTTTCCTCGTGATGCAGCTGCTCCAGAAATTGTTGGTCCGGCTCTGCCCGCTTCACACTGTTTTTCCAAGTCTTATCCAAAGTTGAGAACTCAGCAGAAGGGCACAAGGAAGGCACGCAAACCCGCACCATACCCCACGGCACCAGTTTGCGTTGAACAATACGGGCACTCTTGGGGTAGCTGAGGAAGTTGGCAGAACGGACTGACGGTGAACCTGTATGGCCTGCCGAAGTTCAGACAACCGAAGTGCGCAAGTGGTCAGTGCTCGGCCACAATGTAGAACATGCGTTCGCACAAAAGGTGAGACTATTAGGCAGCCTCCTTCTTGGTAGGAAAAGGTGACATGTCCTCTATCCACCACCCGTGGTCGCCAACTTGCATAAGGATAGTCCTCAGAGCAGAGCAAGGACAACGGCTTTCGCCCCAGCTCGTGGTTCAGCTGGCTTCAGAAGCGGCCGAAATTGTTGCGGCACATGCTCTATGGCAAAAGCTCCGCTGCAGATCGGCAACGCTCCTTTCCCGGAAGACTCATC